GTCATGTAAGTAGTTTGGCATACACAGTTACGAGCATGCTCAAGGATATTCAGCGTTGACCCTTCGATTGTTTGTTGGATATGGACTTTTTTCGACTGGATTTTTTTGGATATGGGATTTGTTTTCCGGTTTTTTTTTTTGGATATGAACTTCTTTAGTAAGGTCGATGGTTTACATGGGGATTTGGATTATGGATAATGTCGATGTGAGCCTGGCTATTTGAATTTCGGATTTGTGCTCGGGTATGGTTTCCACAAGGTTGGAACCTTAAACAATTCAATTAAAACGCACCTTCAAATTTTATCATAACATGTAATTTTGATAAAAAAAATTCATAGGATTATGCCAAAATCTATTTCGACATCTAATTATAAAATTTTATTTCAAAAAATAGTTAAAATCAAATAGATCTATGACCATATGAAAATCTAAAAAATGGATAGCCTAGATAATGTATTGAAAGATGCACTACTTTTAAACCTGAATCTTTTTTTATTTTCATATTCATACATATCAATGTCGAGATGATCAATTAGAGGTTTTTTAACCATTAAAACCACTTTTTTCTAATTGCTTTTTGAGGTGCATTTGTAATTATGTATTTTACGGTTGCAACCTTATATAAACTTTTTCCTTGGTTCTAACCTATATCTTAATTTATTATAGTTTATTATATTTGGAATGATGAATTCAACATGTGCACCTTGCTTTTTATGAAAAATCGACTCTTCATTTTCCAATTTGTATACAAGTTTTCCTAATTTTTAGTGACTATTCATGTTATTTTTTTTATTAATTTCTTATGATTGTTCATATTTTGTTTTCCTTCCTTCACTAAATTTTCCCAAAAATTTTCAGTATCTCTTTCTTTGCTCATGGAGACGGCCAAAAATCAGTGAACTCCCAAGCCCTAAAGGGAGCCTGAGTATACACCGTACAAAACAACGTCAATAAATAAAGAAAACGAAGTTCAGCAGCTGGCATTAACCATAATAACAAGAAACCATAGAAGTACGGCGGCCTGAGTGCCAAAATGCTACAAATTTACAGGGTCTAGTATCATGACTCCCTATCTCAACTAGGTTTGGTTTCAAACCAACTTACCAAACACAACAAACTCAGAAAACCAGGTGATGCTCCCAACTCTGAAATGGCGAGACTTGGAGAACCACTCGTCTCAACAGTCCTGCTTGCCATGGGAGAATCAAAGGCCATTCAAATCAAGCCTGCAAAAGAGAAAAAACTTATTTTAACTAGAACAAACCACCTATAAGAAACCAAAGAGCTTGCAAAAGAAATTAACTCATAATGAGAATAGAGAAATGCTTCATAAACGACCTCACTGATCAGCAATAAACACAAACTCTTTAAGAAACTTTTTCTGTTTTTTTATTTAACTGAGAAACAACTGTTTAAATCCAATTTAAGCATTTCCATAACACCAAGCTCACCCTTTCGCCGATCCAGAATGTATATACCTCTTCACCAGTCTCCTCTGGTGGACCTCTCTGGCCTACTTCTCTTCTGTTCATACTCATCGTGCCTGCCCCTCTTTGAATGCCTTTCCAAGTCTCTTCCATGCTTTGAGCCTCCACGTTCCTCTTCTCTCTCATGACGATCTTGAAAAGCCCGCTTTTCTCCTGCTTTCCTATGATCATGCTCTTCCCTCCTTGAGTCATTTCTACTGTTATCATCAAAATCTCTCTCCTCACGGTTAGCACCACCCCTGTTCTCTCTCCTCTGGGCAACAACCCTGTTCTCGAATTCTCTATCCTCCCGGATAGCATCAACTATGTTCCCTCTCCTCCACTTGAATTGTCTCTCCTCTCGGTTGGCACTTCTGTTCTCTCTACTCCGGTCATCACCCTTATTATCGAGCTCTCTCTCCTTCCAGATAGCGCCATCACCCCTGTTCTCTCTCCTACGTTCATCACCCCGGTTACCAGTGTCTCTGTTCTCCATTCGGTCCCTTCGTTCCACATCTCTCCAATCTCTCTCTCTAGCCAGGTCGTGAGCTACTTTTTCAAGCTCACTTTTTCTGCTAACGTGACGATGTTTCGATTCTGGTAGATTACTTTGTTCCCCTTCGGCCTTCCTTTTCCTGCCCATCTTCTCACTGACCCCATAGCCTGCATCTCTATCATATCCATGTTCTTTTACAGGCTCATCTCTCACAGGCATCACTGCTTTTTCCTGTGTGCGACCCTTGGAACTGGCCTCTTCAATCTCTTCTCTCTCACTCTTATCATATCTGGACCTCTTTCTCGTGGGCCTCTCGGGGCTGCTACTGCCATAACCACTGCTATCACTCTCTTTTTTGCTGGCTTTTTTCACTTTCACGTCCCTTTTCCTCCTATCATCTATGGACCTCTTTCTAGCACTCCTTTCATGGCTACTGCTACTATAGCTACTACTACCATAACTATCACTTGAATCACTATCACTCTCATCAGTTTCAGAATCAGGCCTTCTAGCAATTCGGCCGTCTCTCTCCTTCCTTTTCTTGGAATTTCTCCTCGAGCCATCGGTATCAGAGTCTTCGGATCTCTTACTTTTTAAGTTGTTCCTATTTCTTTTCTTTAATTGTTCGCGTGTATTTCCTCCCTTAACATCATGATCAGCTTCATCATCAGTGTCATTCCTCCTGCCGCCTTTTTCATGCTTGGCAAAAGATCTTTTTGGGAAGTCCTTTCCACTATCACTGTTGGATTCATCGGCATCATGCCTTCTCTTGCTCTTACTGTGTTTCTCACTTCGCTTTTTAGGGTTTCTCCTATCACTGGAGTAATCAGACTCACTATCACTCTCTGTATCATACTTTCTCTGTCTTTTCCCATGTTTCTCCATTCCCTTCTTAGTATTCTTTAGGCTGCCACTATCATTGAGCTCATCGCTGATGCCATACTTTCTTCCTACTCTCCTATCTTTTTCAACAAGTCTTTTGATATGTTTCTTGCCATGATCAGAGTCAGAGTCATCTTCTGAATCAAGCCTTCTCTTCCCACGTTTCTCCATCATATGAGTTTCTCTCTTGTCATCATCAGCATTAGAATCATCATTATCAGTTCCTTTCCTTCTTGCATGCTTCTCAGCCTTAGAATCACGACCATCTCGGGGCTTCAAATTCTCATCATCTGACAGTGCTTCCTTTTTCGATTTCTCAATTCCTCCAGGCATGTCAAGATCCTCATTTTCAGATCCAAGTAATTTTTCATTATCCATTTGTTCTTGAACTTCCTTTTCAGTTGTTTCTTCTGCTTTAGTGATCCCCAGAGCAGCTCTAAAGGTCTCAAGTTGCCTTTCTTTCTTGGCAGCAATCTGATGAGTTTGTGTGTAAGAAACCCTGAACAATGTAAGCCAAGCAGGAGTTAGTAACATAATAAATTCTGTATGTGTGTGTGTGTGTGTGTGTGTGAGAGAGAGAGAGAGAGGGAGAGAGAGAGTTATGCTGTGTGTGTGTGAGAGAGAGAGAGACCCATAACTTGAATTTTGTTGGCCATTAATGTCATTTTCAAATTTGATTGAATAGTCTAGACCATTTTTCATAAATATAATGAGAATCTTTCCAAAACTCAAACTATGAAATTCAAACTTCCAAGAAAGGAATTCTATATCCAGAAATAAGACAGATCCACAAACAATTTCAACATGTGTTCGTCCAATTACATATATGTACTACAAATTTATGTCACGTTATATATGGTATAACTAGAAATGATGCTCAGAAAATAAAGTCTATAAGGTCCAACTACATATATGTACTACAAATTTATGTTATGTTATATATGGTATAACTAGAAATGATGCTCAGAAAATAAAGTCTATATCTGCAACAAATTTCATTAAAACATAAAATGACAAAGCAAGAAATGAGGATTTTTTAGAACAGTATGATAACAGGGTCAATTCTAAGACAATCCTATAAGCAGTGACAAGGAGAAATAAATGATAATATCAGAGCGAGACTATTAGGCTTAGACCGGTGGTAAAAGAAATACCTAAGGATGTCCCAACGTGAGTCTAAAAAGACAACTAATTCAGGAAAAGAACATTTCTGAAGAGGTTTATAAAAAAAAGCAGACACAATTTCATTTATCAAATGAAATGTGGGTGAAATTTTCAAAAATTTTATGTTGTGAATATAGCAATGCAGATAGGAAGCTTTCTATCAAGCGAAGGATGGTAAAATGAGGCAAGAAAGGTAGTACTTTTGAGGTTATAGTGGTGAGGAATATAAACTTTTAAAGAATGTAATGGTGAAGAACATGCAAGGTGAGAAGAGAATCCTAGGTTCCAATGGAAAAAGCTAGGGACGGTCCTCCAATTCCTGTGACACATGTGCAGGGCCCCAATGAGACTTCAGTTTAAAGTTCTAAATGGGCCCATCCTTTCTTGAGATGGTTTTGGTCCCCCCAAACAAGCATCCACCTCTGAGACTTTGGACTATAGTTCTTCAAGGGTTTCGCTCTTCTTGGGCAATGGGAGAGGGGTAACATTCCAAAGCAAATATATATTACTAGGGGAAGTTGAATGTGCCACAATCATGAAGCTGGAAAAAACATGAAGTTCTCGAACCTATCCATTAAACCAGGTCTTCAACTCGGAAATAGGGAATCTCGACATTGGTTAGATGGAAAAATCACCCCATATGTTCAGGAAACCTTTTTTTGAGTAGAAAACCAAGGAAGCCTCGAGAATTTGTAATCCTTATGGATATCAATCCCAAGTTAGAGATGTGAAACTATAAAATTTAAAGCACCGAATCATTCCTTTTCCAATAGGAGATTTCACGGCCATTATCAATTTTTTTTAAAAAAAAGACAACAAGATTATTATTTTGAAGAACTAATCAACCGTAAGATGGTGTACTGGTTAGCCTTGTACTCTCTAATTTCAATTTAGTACAATTGTTACCATTCTCACGAAAAAAAAATTCTGTAAGAACTAATACACTGAATAACACAACTTTAAGTACTATATACTACAATATATTGAACAAAAAGGACTAATGTACCAAGTAACCCAGCCATAGGCATAATAATTAATATCGCATGTAAATTTACCTCTTTTCTTTCAAGGAGAGAAATATTGCCATTCCCAAAGAATATCTTATTTTAAACCCTAGCACAAACTTGAGCATAGTTTAGTAAATTAGGTTCACTTTTCTATGTTTCACAATCCAAATTCTTGTGTAAAATCATCAGTATCTTCATGCTGCTTGAGATTATGGATTACCTTATATCGATCGACCTTTTCCAAGAATAAATGGTTTTAGTTGATCAGTCGAGTGGTCTCAGTGGGACCTGTTTATAGATTGAACAAGAATGGTATGACTTCCATTTCCGGATTAACAAATTGAACCCTCCCCATAGGCATTCTGGTTGTGGGACACATTAACTATGAGTCCCGAAAAGAAAGAAAACAAAAAAAATGAGAGGCAGGGGGTCAAAAGTTACTTTAGAGAATTGGAATCTTCTTGAAACGAAAGAATTATCACAATAAACAACTTCCCAGTCAGCAATTACAATTTAATCAATCAGTATTACCTATAACAACTTATGAAGATTGTAATATACCTTCTAAGATGAACTCCACAAGAATGTCAAAGTGATGCAACTCACTAGGATACTATTAGTGCTCCAATTTCAGTGAACCAACTTTTTTCTTTTTGAATAATCAACTTATAAATCAATATCTTTAACTTGCCATAAATATAGGCTTGTAGAAGTCTAACTTTATATAAGGTTATATTAGGCCTAATATAACCTTACTTGTAGAAGTAAGGTTAAAGTATACAATCCATTTTATTTGGAAAATGTAGGTTTTAAAATGCATTAAAATCTATACAGTTCAACTAAATTGGATGGTGTAAAACACTTCAACGTTACCTCTACAAGTAAAGTTGTCACCTGATATACACCGCATCGAATGATAAAATAACAAAAAAATGCTTAATTGTATAAGCCACTTAGGGAAGACCACTGGTAGAAGTATCTGGAAAATTAGCAATGAAAAGATTGAGAATGGTAAGTTTTGCTCCTCGAAAAACATATAAAATGGCTGGAAAAGGGTGTGTGCACACAAGAGTTCTCTGATATAGTAGCCAAAGAAGGAACACTTAGACGCACTTTGTTCAAAGCTCCAACAATATTCTTTTGAGTTTAACTAGTTCTGTTTACATAGTTTTTTCTCTATAATACACTGGTAATCAATTTCATAAAATTTAATTTCATCAATACTGCACAAGATTGTTACTTGCAAATAAATAAATAAAGAAAACACATTCACACACACAAATGAGAATTGCTAATAACGGACAAAATCCCTATGAATGATGAGATAATCCGGGAAGCCTTTCTCAAATATATGCATGCACCAGATGTCAAGTTCTGGTATAAAATATCATAAAGCCCTATTCTTCACCGAGCTTAAAATATACATAAAACCCATTATCATGCAAGTTAAGATAAACGCATGTGAGGAGTCAATTCTACCTACATGATATATGATTGGAGAAAACCCTATATATAGTGTAAACCACTATGATTAACAACATTTTTCCTTGATTGCTTTCTAAACAATTCCAGAGTGGGTAAATGCTATACATGGAATGAGATGGAAATGACAGAGAACCAAGATATGTAAAAAACCAGACAATCTTCAAGCTAGATAAATCTATCAATAAAAAGCAGAAAAGCTAAGTCAAAACAGACATAGAAAATGCAAGATTGAAGATCAAACAATTCATAGACCAACCGACACTCTCAGTAGCATTTGATTCATGAAAAATTATAATTGCAAGATAAATAACTTGCAGAGGAGGGAATAGGTTTGAATTTGTGCTCCAAGTGATTAAAAAAATAGATCTTGTAAAAAAATTTACTTCATTTTTTTTCTATTGATTGGAAACTTTTTATTTCATTAAATTGTAAGATAATAGAATATTGTCTCGTGGTATAAGAGTTTGCATAATATCCATGTAATCATACACAAAATGTACATCTGAAAATTCAATTGTGCAAGAAAAGAAATCAAACACACTGAATCATCACTCATCAGCCATTATATCTGATTTCGGCATAAGAAATAACCTCAGCTATGTTGATTCCAATCCCATATTCATAAATAAAAATAAATAAATAAAAAAATGCCACAATAGGCGCAATCCAAAACATTCAATTAAAAGATGAAATTTAAGCAAGTAATTCATAGAAACCACGAGTATAGAGAAAAAACAAAAATAAGGTAAACAAACTGAAGTTAACAGACAGAAAGGAAACACAAAGCAATAACCCCTAAAACACAAAGAAAAAGAGAATACCATCAAAAATTTAAATCAATAACAGGTTTAAGAACCACGAGAAGGAAATTACTTATTGGTAGTGTTAATTCCACCATCCTCCACCTCCTCAGCTTCAGCCTCGAACCTCTTTTTCGCCTCATGTAACTTGTCAAGAATCTCATCCTCCGTATAACCCTGATCGGCTAAGGTTTCCTCAAGTAACACCAGTTTCAATTGGATCTGGCGTTTCTTATCATGATCTAAAATTTCCTTGTTTGCTTTCTTCACACCTCCTGTTCCCTGATCACTCCTAAACTCTTTGGTCTCAACCCTAGCGCTCTTTGGCTTCACAAAAAACTTATTGCTCTGTATATACCCATTTGTACCAGAACCCCTAGGGGTTTGTAAACCTATGCCATTATACATGGCTGAAAGGAACCTAGGGTTTCAGAATTGGTAAGAGAGAATTTTGGGTGCGAAAACCCTAAAAATTGAACAGAAAGCCTAGCAGCAAAAAAAACGTACGCAGTTTTTGGGAGATAGGGATTGAGGGAAGGGAGATAGAGCAATAACCTTTGGGTGGGTGCGAAAACCCTCAAAATTGAACAAAAAACTAGTAGCAAAAACGGGAGATAGGGATTGAGGGATGGGAACCAACGTAGGATTTTATACAGTCATAGGGATTGAGGGAAGGGAAATAGGGGATCCTACGACCTAGGATTTTATACACTCAGGCGCCTTAGTTGGCGGCATGGGAGGGATCAGGCGATTGAGGAAGTGAAAAAGGATTTTATAGTATACACCCAGTCGCAGGCGCGTCCCACCGCTTATAATATGGTCCTAAGAGGACAAGATGGTCATATTCTGCTTTTAGATGATATTTTTTTATTTATTTTTGGAATCCAATTAATAATAATTAAATTATTATTTTTAGAAAAAAAAAAAAAACTTCTTCAATACCTAGATTTTTCCCTTAATTTTTGGATGTTCATTCTTCAAGACTATGACTTTATTTTTTTCAGTCATGTAGAACATACTATTTCGTTTTTAATGTTCATATGTGCTCAAGAAGTTACATCTCCAAAGTCTTAAAAATATTATAAACGTGAGATTTGAGTGAGGGAGCAAATGGACAATATACTCCCATAAGAGCAAAATATATTTCGACTTTAATTATTGGGGAAACAATAGCATTTTTTAAGATATTAGACTATTAAGAATTTATTTTAGAAAAAAGTTTATATAAGGTTCCAACCTTAAAATGTAGAATCAGAAATGCACCTAAAAAATCCATCAGAATAGGTTGTTTTAATGTTAAAAACCCTCGAATTGATCATCTCAACATCAAGATTTTAAGAATATGAGAAAAAAAAAAAAGGATTTAGAGTCTCAAAAATATTACACCGTCCATTTTCAAGATTTTCATATGTTTCTTGATCTACTTGATTTTAATCATTTTTGGAGTTTAGAACTTTATAATTAGATATAAAAATAGACTTTCAGATAATCCAAATAATTTTTTATATTAAAATTATATATTATGATAAAATTTGAAGGTGAGCCTTAATTGGATTGTTTAGAATTGCAACCATATAGAAACCACACCCTTTACTTTAAATTGGCTATCATGGGCTATTTTGTCTCTCTTTTAAAGATAATTTTATAGCATCTTTGTCACTCATCTTAGAAATATTATTTCCTCTCATTTTTTTTCCTTCCCTTTTTTGAAAAGTCCAATTATTAAGCGCTTCCCTAAGTACAATTATTAAGATATCCTGGAATCGTGGTTTAAACAATATCATACAATTTAGTCTTCTTCTTTGATTTGTGTCCCTTTATTTCAGTTTTAAATAGAGAACACGAGACCATGAAAAAGTGGGAGTATTGTAAATTATAGAAGTTATGCGCATATTTTTTTTAATTTTAATTAAAAAAATCTCCATAATAAAATTGGGGGATTGTATACAATAAGACTATTTATCTTTATTACTTATAACCAATAAACCATCCAGAGTGAAATCTAATAGTTTGAGTGCGTCTTGAAGTTTGAAAAAATTTATTCCGAGCTTTGGAATAAATATAACCACCCAATTTCATGCTAGTGACCACTTTATACCAAAATAAACAGTCACATATTGTACTTTTTTTAAAGCGTGCGGTATGTATAGAGCCGAGGCTCTAAACAATCAAAGTAAAGCCCACTTTCCAAATAATATCGAGAAATCTGGTTTCAATACTGAAAATCTTTGTGATAGCCTTAAAATATATTATCGCCTTTAATTATAAAATTTAAAGCTTCAAGAATAGTGTAGATCAAGTAGATATATGAATACTTGAAAATCTTGAAAATTGACGGTAAAAAAATGCGTTACTAAATGCACTATTTCTAGAACTTGAAGTCTATTTTTTTCTCATGACCATACATCTTGATGTCGAGATGATCAATTTGAGGATATTTGAGCATCAAAACAACATTTTTAAATAAATTTTTTGATATGAGCTCTAATTTGATCGTTCAGAGCCTCGACTCTATATAAACTTTTTAGTTGAGCGCTTTTGCCTACAAATTTTTTACCAGGAATACACTTTCCCCCATAAATTGGCCCTTTACTCCCCAGTCCTTGTAAAGATGCAACGATCTTTATTCACTCAAATAAACATGAAAAAAGTTTAAATAAAGTTACAACTTTAAAATGTAGAATTAAAGATACACCCCAAAATCTATCGAGAAAAGTTATTTTTTATGTTAAAAAACCCTCTGATCGATCATCTCAACATCAAGATGTATGAATATGAAAAAATGAAGATTTGTAGTCCCATAAATAGTGCATATTGCAAAACATTATCCAGACGGTCTATTTTCAAGAGTATTGTATGATTATAGATCTACTTGATTTTAACTATTGGAGTTTAAAATTTTATAATTAAATATAAAAATAGGTTTTGAGACAATCCTAAAAAAAATTTAAATCAAAATGGCATGTTGTGATAAAATTTGGAGGTGCGCTTTAATTGGATTGTTTAAAGTTGCAATCTCATAGAAGTCACACCCAATAAACAATGAAAATGGATTTGATAGGGCTGCAATCCTTTTAAAGTAAATAAAATCTCACTTCATAACTCATCCAAAATTACGATTCAAGTAACGAAAAACTTACACAACAATCATCTCGACTCGAACATTATGGTTATAAAAAACAATTAGGATTTTAAGCTCTAAAAATAATGTATATTGTAACAAATTATTTAGACCATCTATTTCGGCTTAAAAATAAATGTTCACATATATGCAAGAGCGGTATCAATTTTTTAATTTTTAATTTTATTGTTGGTATTAAAAATCACTTTTATTGTTGGTATTAAAAATTAATTTCCTTCGGCGAATGTGCTTTCTGGAAGAGGATTTCAGGTGAGGCTTTATTTTGTTTTCTTAAAGCCTAGGTTTTATACAAACGTCATCCAAAACGAACAAAATAGACTGAAAACTAGACCCTGCTACGCGAGGGATAAGATAGAGTGGCTGAACCATATGCAGCTAACCTTCACTCTCTCTGATAAAGAACATGGCGCCCCTTGATGTTTTAATGGCGTCCAAGCTTAATTTGCAGGTTACTATTTTGAATTAACTTCCATGTAACCCTAGGTTATCTATCATTTTATTAGTTGATTTCAAAATTATATTATTTTGACTTGTTTTTGGGAAAAAATTTGATGGGTTTTGCAGGTTAATGGATCAGTTTTAAGAAACCGTGTCCCTTATCCTTTTATCTCTTGTTCTCTTTCCTCCAGTTCTCGAGTGAAATTATCTCCAATGAATTCGGCTTCGAAAACGAGCACTCTGATGTGGGGATTGGGCAAAAGAATGGCTGTTCGTCCAGTTGTGGTAGAAAAGAGGTTTCTTGTGAAAGCACAGTCAGAAAACGAAGAAGGGGAGCTGGGTTCTGAAGAAAATGTTTCAGAGAATGCAGAATCGGCTCTGGAAGCCGAAACTTCTTCATTGGTGGTGGCTACATTGGAAGCGCCCGAACCAGAGGTTAAACCAAGAAAGCGGAGAATTAAGTTTGGTGGTGAGATAATGGAGGTAAGTTGCCTTCCCCCCCCTAATCCTTTTTTCATTTCCTAGTTATTTATTTGCTTATTTAGTTGTAGCGTGAAGCAATTGTTAGTGATTTGGCTATTATTTTGGTCGATATATGGGTTTTTGCCTAAAAAGTTATCAGGTTTATTTTCCTGTTAAGTTTATGGTTTGATTTGAGTTAGAAATTTTTTGATGCATTTTACCGATCAAAAGGGTCAAAAACTAAAAGATTGGATTGTTTAGGAATTTGTTAATATTTTATGGTCTGAGATGGCTGTGTCCTAGGGTTGTTGCTTTTATGATGAAATTCAGAAATGGCTGTGTCCTAGGGTCGTTGAACTGCTTGACTCAATAGTGGAAATGGCAAATGTGTGGATTCAAATATTGAGTTTTTATTTATTTATTTATTTTTGTGTTATGCTATGAATTCTCATGGATAATATGTGTTATTATTATTTTTTCTCTTTGGGGTAATTGGATTGCAAGCCTCTTTTCATTCTTTAAAATGTTCTCTCTATTGGCTGATGTTGAATTTTGAAAAAGGACACACTAACCCTACTATGAGAAAAAGAAAATGCCTCGGTGTTACCATTTTCACAAATATTATCGGAGAGCAAAGGGGTGATTCTTTTATGGTAGCTGACTGTTTTGGAAGACGGGCATGTATTTTCAATATCAGATATATTATTGTGTTATCATTCTTTAGTTTTTCATTAGAAAGGTGCTCTCTGAAAATTATTTGAATTTCTGTTCGATGATTTTCTGACAATAAGAGATGTAGTTTGGGTTTTGGGGAAGGAATTTGTAACAGATTTAAAAAATATTTATTTTGTGAGAAGGCCAGTAATAGTGATTTTTTTTTTGGACCATTAGATTTTGAACAAGCGTGCTGTTGAAGCATCCGAGAAAGAGCGGCCTGTCCCCGATATTAGAACTGGAGATATTGTGGAGATCAAACTGGTAAAAAAACAGGCTACATCATTTTGCTTCACCCTATGTATGATGTTACATTTTGTTTGAGATTGTTTTATGGTTATTCCCTTTCGAATTTGTAATCCTCAAACATGGTTTATACTAAGGGTAATATGTGGTTTTGAATTCTTAGGAAGTCCCAGACAATAAACGCAGAGTTGCAATCTGCAAGGGTATAGTTATATCAAGGCAAAATGCCGGGATCCATACAACGATCCGGATTCGTAGGATAATTGCAGGTGTTGGCGTTGAGATAGTTTTCCCACTGTAAGTAACTAAAGTTCAATAAAGTTTTCCCCACAGTTATGTCAATCGCCTACCAAAAATGGGTGTTGTTTTACTTGTTGGAAAATATGGTAAGGATGGATGCTTCAAATGGCATGGAAGATGATTGAAAAGTGTTAGTGGAGACCTTTTTCACTTGGTTATGTGATTGGAGACTCTTACAAATCACAAGCTTTGTAAAATGGAACATGCAAGTTAAAACTATGAAAAGTAACTGCGCCCGAAAGTTAGATTTAAGAAGATATCCAAGAAATGTGGAGGATCAAGTTAATGGTGCCAATTTTATGCTATCAGATCACTTATGGGTGAGGATGGTTGTGTATCTTCTTAATTTTATATTTACATCAACAATATAGAAATATCAATTCTCAAAGCATAGAACATTCCGACATTTAAATCGAGCTTTCACTAAACACACATCGCACACATGCACAAATATACACACACACACATATCTATATATATTTCTATATATATACATATATATTATATAATGTTGCTAATGTAATTTAAGCTACTTGACATGTTGTGTCTGAAAGCCCAACCATGTTTTATTGTTTCTAACATGGGTGTCGATGTGATATAATTGTCTGGCGAGCCTTTGAGCTGTTGGCATGTTTTTATTTTTATTTTTATTTTGGGAAGCTGTTCACTTTGTATTAAAGAAAAGGTGACAGGTGTTGACATTTTCTTTCTTTACTTTGACATTTTGCTAGTCAATTGGTGCATTACTATGGTTTTGAGTGATGCAGATGTGTATACATATCGGAATTTCGATTAGTATTGGAGTTCCCACGAATCATTTGAAATACATCTCTACCTTATGAGTAGCTTACCAATAATCATGCCTTTCAGATTCTTGCATTATAAATGGGGCTTGCATGACAAATGGGGATTGTATACTATGAGACCATTTATCTTTCTCACAAGGAGGTCACAAATACTACTAGCCATTAGATGTCAAATTGAATGGCTTGGGGTGTGTCACGAAGTTCGAGAATTTTTTTTTGAACCTTGAGTCTGGTCAATGACATGCTCATAGCCATCCAATTTGAAACCTAAAGGACAAGAGTGATTTGTGAGCTCCATGTGCGAAAAGTAAATGGTCTCTTTGTATGCTTTTCCTTATAAATAAGTCATCGTAGAAAGCAAATGCCATGCAAACTCTCATAATTTGAGACAATATAATCGGTCGCTGCTAACTCGAATTGTTTGTTTTCATGCCCAATGTATAATCTATGCAGGCATCAATAGATAAATATATGGATGTGTCCATGTGTATTAAACACATGCATGAATTGATAGATATATTGTGTTATGGGCATATGCATCAATAGACAAAATCAATGTATCTTTTTGGATAGAAATATTAATTGGTGCTATTTGTGTAACGCTGAGGCTTTATGATAAAAAGCAAGCCGCACCTGAAAACCTGCTAGAAGATGTAGTTCTAGTGCTGGAAACTTTTATGATGAGCTGAAAAACTATTTCTGCCCCTGATCATGTCCAAAAATGTTGCACTTATGGGAAATCTTTAAACACTTGAAAATGGATGGTCTAAATAAATGTGCTACAAGATGTACTGATTTCAGGGGGCTTGAAATCCTAATTTTATTTATTTATTTCTTGATTCATAATTGTTGACGATGAAATGATCAGTTACAATGTTTTCTGATGCTGCAATGGCATTTTCTGGCAAGATGTGAGTTGCTGCTGTAATGGCTATGGCTCTATAACGTTTTCCTTGATTGAAATATATATATATATATATATATATATATATATAATACAAAGATATATAGATGTTGAAAACCTCATTTTATGGAAATTTTAGTAATTTAAAGTATTGAGGGAGATGAGCCAGTTGATGTTTGGACTATTTGCATTATATGTTTATGTAAAAGTACATATATTCGTAATATCTTTGAATTGTATTGTGGTGTCCATGTATGTGTATGTTTAAATGCTTATATGTTTGTATTAGCATGTGCTGTGCCCATGCATGGATGTATGTCTGCTTGTTAGAAGTGATGATGTATTTCTGGATGTTTCTCGGACATGTTTCAGGTACTCCCCAAACATCAAAGAGATAAAGGTTGTGAGTCATCGGAAGGTTCGAAGGGCGAGGTTGTACTATCTAAGATACAAGCTTCCAAGACTTTCAACCTTCAAGTAAAACCACAAGCTTTTCTCATCTCCTGTTGCCTGGATTTGCTTCCGTATAGGAAACTTTATTTTCATATTTGCTTTTGTTCCAAATTGTAATTTTTCTTTTTTAATTTCCTTTTCTGATAGAGAGAAATCCCTTGCTTTAGGATTTTTGATAAGATATTAAAAAATCAGTTCCTTTGGTTTTGAATTAGCTCAGGCTTGTCGGAGTGCAAAATGTACATTCACTACCTTAGGCAAAACCTAGCTAGGAGTGTTTATATGATCACAAATTTTGGTGATGAGACCTACTGACCAACTTAAAGAAACTTCAATGTTCACCTGGAGCTGCATGAGGAAAGTTTTCTCATAAGCAGTCCAATACAGGCACATTTAATTGTTTAGGTGCTCAAATGTTTTATCCTTGAAAACATGCATCTTTTACTTGAAAATTATATCCTAAAATTTCAGATCAAGAAAATCCTCCCAAGGGAAGTTGATGGAGTAAATGTAAATTGTAGTTGTTGCCTAACTTACTGTTGTATTCTTGGAGCATTTCCTCAAGATCACTATAAACACACACCCACACACACACATGAGGTGCTCATGCCTATAAGACCTTCGGTTTGCAGTGGGTGATTGATGCCTAGTGATTGGGCCTCTAGAGGTCCACCCTGACTCCCTAAGAGTGGTCGAATATTTATGAAAAAGGCAGTGGTTGCTACACAATGGTCATTTTTGAGTCTTTGTAGAGTTGTGAACTCCTTACCATCTTAGCAACCACAGCATCAAGGTTCAGGGCACATAAAGAAACATGCGGCATTTTACTTAATAAAAATAGTTATCTTAAAGCTAAGCATGCATGAGTGATCTATGATACTGAATCATGGTTGCCCCGCTGCGCTGGGCAAAGGACACATGGATGGCCAAAGTGGCTTCGTGCAGAGGATTACTTCAGGCCACATGGCCTGACTGCTAATAGGGAGGCCTTGCACTGAGGCTTCAACCCAGTTAGCTGGAGGCTCATGAGGCCTTGCCGCAATCACCAAGGCAGTTAGAGTCAGTCGAGGCCTCATGGATTTCACGACTACTGTCGTGGCCTCATGGTAAGGCCTCGGGGGGCTTAACATCGAGGCCTTGGGCCCCATTTTTGAAGCCTCACGACCTACTGTTTAGGCCTCATGCCAAGGCCTCAGTAGACCATGCAATTCTAGACCATAGAAGCCTCTGATATCAATCATAACCATAATAATAGAACATACTTAGTACTGAGCCTTGATGCGGGGCCTTTTATTTGCATGCCGAGAGGTATTACAATGGGGCCCTTATGTCTCAGTACTAGCCCACAGGCCTCAGGGCGAGGCCGACAAAGCCACAACAGCAGCTGCAGACCATGAGGGCTTAGTTACTACTGCCCTGGCCTCAAAGCAAACCTACATGGCCTTGATAGGAGGCCTCCAGCCAATCTGAGTGGGGCCTCCCATGATTAGGTAAGACCTCAACGTGAGGCGTCCCCAACCAGCGGCAAGGCCGCTGCTGGACCAGATGTAGCCATGATATGGTTGTTGGGATCGAGAGTGGGATTGGGATCGGGAGCTGGGAATCTTGATAGGCTAGAAATCCCTATAATTGTGTGTGTTGTCTGTACATTTCATATGTTGGGAATCGAGATCGCAAAACCCAAGCTTTTGGGGATCTTGCTCCCAACCTTAAAGAGTATATGTATTTGAGGACTATATAGGCTCATAAGGTAGAGATCTCTTTATTTATATTCTGCAAGCAATGCATTTGAATTAGAGGTATAGTTGCTTAGCTTGTTGGCTGTAAATAAAGAAAATCATCAGTTTGTTTTTTATCTTGGCTTTTAAGGTAGGGATCCAGATCTTTAGCAGCGGCATTTGAGATCCCTAATAATGGGGATTGGGCCCCAAAATTAAAATCAAAATTCCTTGAAGATCCCTTTCCCTGGCTTTAGAGCCAGATTTTGGAGTGTGATTGCCACTTAGATTGGGAGATACCAACAAATATGGGCCATCAAAACATGGTCAAGGTCAACAAAGGCCTCAAACATGAGGCCACTATAGGAAGCCACGGGGCCTCAACCCTGGCCTGACAGGCAACCAATGCTTAGCCTAGTGCGCATCAATCATGTGTGCTTGGGCCTAGCAACACCAAACGTTTCTTTTATGACTCCATAGAGAGAAACGGAAATAGGGTTTCCGAGGGAGATAAAAAACCCAATACAAAAAACAACCTA